TAAATTAATAAATGATTATTTATAGATATTGTATATTAAAATAGAATCGAACATTCGAAAAACAATCAATAAAAATTTGATGTTAAAAATAAATTGAAATATAAAATTAATAATCGTATTGTTTATAATTAGTAGTTGGTATTACTACAAATGGCGACGATAAATGGAGAAAATAATTCCTTAAATGGAGATAATAATTCCTTAAATGGAGAAAATAATTCCTTAAATGGAGATTCAAAAAAAATAGCGGATTTATCTACGATTAAATTTGATAAATTCGAGTTGGACACTTCTATCCACAGATATTTTTCTTAATGGGAAGCCAGTTTTCGGTTAAAAAACGTAAGCCCATCTGAATGTCAATATAAAGATATATTTTTAACATTTTTTGGCAATAAGAATATTGAGTTGGTGGACCGTTTTTGTTATCCTGATTCGATCGAAACTTTATCTTTTAAGGAAATTAAGTCAATATGTTTTAAACTATTTAAACCGACGTCAACAGCTTTTGCTTCTAGATTTGATTTCGTTAGATTACGGAGAACAACTGAAACCATAACTGAATTTGCAGATAAAATTAGAACAATTGGCAAGCGTTGTCATTATCTTAATGATATTGACGAGCGTTTACGTGATCAGTTTATGGTTGGCATGGAAATACCGGGATTGGAAAGAGATCTTAGAGCTCTATATCCCGACGGTCTTGATAGAGATAATAATGTACTGACTTTTCAATTTATTCTTGATCTGGCATTAGCTTCTGAGCGAGCAGATAAAGAAATGGCAAATAAAAATATGCCTGTTGTTAATAAGATAAATGATAATAACAAAAGAAATGATAATGATAATAATTATAAACATCCAATTAAAACGACGACTACATTTGATAAAGGCTATAATAAAGTCAAGTATAATAATACATTTGATAAAGCGAATAATAAATACAAATATAATAATGATAAAGATTATAATAAACTTAAATGTTATAAATGTGGTTTTATTCATAACCGAGAAGTGAGATGTCCAGCTACAAATGCGGCATGTAATAAATGTAAAAAAATTGGTCATTTTAGTTTGCTGTAAATCAAAGAATTTAAATTATATAAGAGTGTCATCAAGTGATTCTATTCATAATATTTGGAAGATTCAACAAAATCGAGAGAATCGAGCAAAACTAACTGCAGAGATAAATGGGTTAGATGTTGAATTTGATTTTGACACTGGTGCACAAGCGTCATTGATAGGAATTGATATATGGACAAGTATTGGGCGACCAAAAATTAGGCCAACCAGTCCATTGACTGCATATGGTGATCATCCGTTAGACGTCAAGGGCGAGACCCAAGTCAATGTTAGGATTGGATCACAGACAAGGACTCTACCAGTGGTAATAATGAATACAACTGGGGTGCCTCTTTTCGGATTACCATGGATTATAGCATTCAATTTAGAAATGCCTCGTCAGGTTATGATTAAACAAGTACGCAATTTGGTCAACAATATTGAAAAAGAAAAATGTTGCATAACACTAGATTCTAGAATTCGAGATTTGATTAATAAACATCAAGAAATTTTTGATGATAAGATGGGATATATACGTGATTTTGCAGTGCGAATACATTTAAAGGATACCGCTGTACCAAGATCGTTTCCAGCCCGTAGGGTACCATTTCCACTTCGCAAAGCAATTGAAATGGAATTAGACCGATTAGTAGCTGCAGGAATTATTGAAAAGATTGATTCGACTATAACCAGGGTACAGTGGTCAACGCCAACCGTAAATGTACGCAAGAGTAATGGCTATATTCGAATTTGTGCTGATTTCAAAGTTACACTCAATCCGTGTTTATTATATGACCATAATGTTATTCCTACCTTAGACGATTTGTTAGAGAAAATCCAAGGTGGTGATAAATTTACCGTGATAGATCTGAAAGATGCGTATTTACAGATGGAAGTAGAATTGGAATCCCAGGAACTACTAACGATAGTGACTCGTAAGGGCTATTTCCGTTACCGACGATTGCCCTTTGGATTGGCAAGTGCACCAACTATATTTCAAAGATATATGGATGAGTTACTAAAAGATTGCCAAATGACTGGTGTCTATTTAGATGACGTAATTATTTCTGGTCGAAATGATGAGGAGCACTTAAATAATTTGCGAATAGTGTTAGACAGATTACATGCAGCAGGTCTTAAGGCGAAATTAACAAAAGTGAGATTTTTACAAAAATCGGTTTCATTTTTAGGGGTGATAATTGATAAATTTGGTATACAGCCTAACCCGGAAAAGGTGAAGGCTATCCGAAATGCACCAAAACCTAAAAATATACAACAACAACTTAGATCTTTTCTAGGACTAGTTAATTATCATGAACGTTTTATTCGCAATCTACATTCTAAAGCGGCGCTACTACATAGATTAACGAGCGTGAAAGTAACTTGGCAGTAGTCGAAAGATGAACAAAATTCCTTCAATGAGGTTAAGAAATTATTGTCATCCGAGGAAACGTTAATTCCTTATAACGCGCAGTTGCCTATAATTTTGGAATGCGACGCATCTGATTCAGGATTAGGGGCTGTGTTGTTACATCAATTAGTAGACGGAAGGACAAAACCTATTTCGTTCGCGTCACGTACTTTATTAGAATCAGAGAAACACTACGCTCCGATTGATAAAGAAGCTCGAGCACTTTTATTTGGTATTGAAAAATTTCATTCATTTATTTATGGTAGAAAATTTTTACTTCGAACTGATCATAAACCATTAGAGCGATTATTTGGGGAGAAACGCGATTTACCTAAAATTTCTAATAATCGTTTGACACGTTGGGCCTGGAAGATGGCTTCTTATGATTTTACAATAGAATATAGACCTGGTAATAAAAATGTAATCGCCGACGCATTATCAAGGCTTCCAATATTAGACACGGAAGAGAATCAAGATTCTAAACATGCTTTGGATATTCGAAGTATTAATTTGGATGATATGCAATTGTCAGAAAATATTCTACGAAAAGAGTCGAAGCAAGATTTAATATTAAAAAAAGTAGCAATACATATTCAGCAAAGTTGGCGAAACTTTGATCGTTATAAAGATAAAGAAATAGTTAATTTTTATAATCGACGGGAAGAGCTTTCTGTCGATCGTGATATTATAGAATGGAATGGGAGATTGGTTATTCCTAATAAATTAAGAAATGCAGTGTTAGGAATGATTCACCGGGGACATCCTGGGGAAAATGTAATGAAATCTATTTTTAGATTGTATTGCTGGTGGCCCAGATGTGATGTTGATATAGAAAATTTTATCAAAATATGTTCTGGATGCCAGAAAAATAGACCTAGTATTCAAGAAGTACCTCTATATTCTTGGACTGTTGGGAAGGAATCTTGGGAGCGAATCCATATTGATTTTGCTGGACCAGTAGATTCGCGATACTGGCTAATAGGTGTCGATTCCTACTCCAAATGGTTAGAAGTTGATCTAATGCAAAATACCTCTGCTGATGCTATGATAAAACGACTAAAAAAATGGTTTGCTAGGTTTGGAATACCCAAGTACATTGTGTCAGACAATGGACCACAATTCTTATCTGGGGAATTCCGTAGGTATTGTGATTTAAATAACATACGTCATATACGTTCGGCACCCTATCATCCAAAAACTAATGGATTAGCTGAACGTACAGTACGAACTTTGAAAGGTCGGTATTATGCAACGAGAGATTCAATTAGCGATCCCGAAGAAGCTATGACACAGGTTTTAACAACCTACCGATTGGGAGAGCATAGTTCCACAGGGAGATCTCCTGCTAAAATTATGTTTGGGAGGCAATTGAAAACAAGTCTGGATTGGATCCGACCAAATGCCGAACACGAAATAGTAAGGGCCAATGATAAACAAAGCCTTCATCATGATTTACATTCAAAGGAAAGAGAATTTGAAATCTCACAACCTATATGGTTAAATAATGAAAATACCAATGGTTGGAGAGAGGGAGTAATTAAAGAAAGAATAGGACTTTATTCTTATATTGTTGAATCTTCCGGGAAAACATTACGGAAGCATGCAGATCAGTTAAGAAATCGTTTAGTTATCCCAAATCATGAAAGTTCTTTGGAAGTTACAGAAATGGTTGTGCCAGTGAATGAAGCAAATACAAACACAAATACAAATACCACATTACGTTGCTCATCAAGAAACCGTAAACCTACAAAGAGGTTTATTGAAGAAATCTAACTTTAAATTGTTTGAAGGAAATGTAATAAATTAATAAATGATTATTTATAGATATTGTATATTAAAATAGAATCGAACATTCGAAAAACAATCAATAAAAATTTGATGTTAAAAATAAATTGAAATATAAAATTAATAATCGTATTGTTTATAATTAGTAGTTGGTATTACTATAAATACCAAAATAAAAAATTGGTTCTATGAATTTATTTGGACAGTAAATATCTCAAAAATCTACTAGGTATATCCTTTCCCTAGCTTTTCATTACTAAAGCATATCCAAGTATCACAACTTTATAATTTATAATGAGGCCATTTTTAGTAACCAATCAATCATACTTTATTTTTATGTTCGGCAAAATGCCATCCCATAATTTCAAAATTTAAAGAAAGCCCAAATATTTGTAATAAGTAATTATTTTTATGAAATTTATCAATATAGAATGTGGCCATATATACTTGTTGCTGCACGATCTTATAGTTATTATATAGTATTTCCTTTCACAGTTATAATTGGCTTAATTGGATATAAATTGGAGAATAAATTTAGAAAACCAGATGATAATAATAAATATTTTGATCGTACCATAAATGAAAAAAGAGATATTAGATTATCAAAAAAATTTGAAATATATGACCCGACACATGTAGAAAGCATAAAGTCTAATGCCAATATTCCCAAAACAATATTTGACAAAAATGCTAATCTTAATATAAAAAATAGAAGCTACACTGCAACTGATGATTAAACAATGTTATTGGTCAAAACTATTTAATTGTCAAAATTTAATAAAACATATACCAAAATATTTTTGCAACATTAATAATTTAAATAGTGAATTTTCCAATATACAAACAGCTCCATTTAAAATGAATATTGGTCACTTCGAAAATTTTAAAGCCTTGTTTACTCCTGAACTATATAAATTAAAAGAAATATTTAAAAATTATAACCATCAATTATGCCTAGCAGGAGGTCCTGTACGAGATATATTAATGGGCATTATTCCTGAAGATCTTGATTTTGCTACATGTGCCACTCCATTTCAAATGAAGGAATTTTTTACATCTGAAAATGTAAGAATGTTAAATAAAAATGGGGAAAAGCATGGAACTATAACTGTGAGAATAAATGATAAGTAATATATATTAAAACAATTTTAATATTGAAATAAAATAGAGAAAATTTTGAAATAACTACCTTACGAATTGATAAAGCAACTGATGGAAGACATGCAGAAGTTGAATTTACAAAAAATTGGCTCTTAGATGCTAATCGAAGGGACCTTACCATAAACTCAATGTTTTTAGGTTATTCAATGTCTTATATTTTATAATTTTAAATAATTATCTCAAGATGCATATAGAGTCATGTAAAAAAAATTTTGACATGGGCTTTTTTTGAATCCTAGTTGTAAAAAAATCTTTAGACCCAATCCTTATATGGTTAATATTAGATATAACATGGTCAAGATTATATCAATTACTACACAATGACCAATTTTTTTAAAAATGTAATAAGACTTGGTTATTTTATAATATTTATTAATGGATGATGTAGTCAAGTCCAATCTACTATATATCATCCTCATGTATTTAACCACCAAGTTGTTTTTAGAAAAAAACATGATCCTTACAGGATTCAAACCCAGAACCTTTGAATTGAGATACACACACTCACTCAGCTAGGCCAGTGATGCTATTCAAAAATAACTATATTTTAAATATAAATATTATAAATAAACAAATGTTACCTCAATCCTATCAAATTTGGTTTGTTCGTTATATCTAACATTAACCTCCTTTCCTTGTATACAGTCCAACTTTAGTAATGGAATTAGCAAATATATCTCAAACTAAAAATAGTTTTTAATCTATTTTATTGTTATGTAGAGACCAGGGTAAAGCAAATGATTGGGTAACAATGTTAATTTTTAGCCCTGAGCATAAATGCTTTATATTCGATGTGGATGTTTTTTATATAATTTCCTGTTGGCAAATATTTCTGGTTTTATATATTTTACTCAAACCCACTTTATTCCCAGTTGTATTGTTTCTTTATATCAGTAAATATAACTAATGTAATGTATTATAAAAAAGGATAAACATGCATATAAACTATAAAAATCATCTTCTACAATTTTTGCTCAGCAAGATAGATTTCTTAATTATTTAAAATTTTGCACATTAAAGTTGTAGCTATAAATTAAAGTTTATTGGACATTTATAATTTCACTAAAATTTAAATAATGATTTATATAAATAGAATCTTGGGGTAGAGCTGTTATGGGTAGAATGGTGAAAATATTTTGCCTGATTAAAGGTATATAAGAAGTAGGAATATTAACACCGAAACCATATAAAAGTATTTTTTAATCAAAAAGAAATAATAACCAAGTAGTTTGTTTGTTATATGGAATAAAAATTTCAAAAAAATTGTGTGGAGAATAATTGAATTGATGTGCTTTGAATATTTCTCAACATTTCCTTATTATATTTAGTTTATGGGGAAAAATATTTTGTTCAATGAAACAATAAAGTTGTGTTCAATTGAATATATATTAACAACTTCACTTAAGTGCTTAGCCATTTTACCCTGAGTATGGGGTAGAATATTGAAATGCCTCACTTTACATAATTATAGCTCTTAAAGTATTTTTGATAGATAGCTGTATTTATTTTTATTTGTACGTGAGGGATTGGGATTCACAATGGTATTCTATTTTGCTTTTGTTTTAAATTTTCATGGTAAAAATGCAAAGTACCAATCGTTTTACCTGGTCTCTACATAAAATTTAAATTTACAGCAATATTTATGATGATATAACAATTTAGTTCATCAAATTAAAAAAAAAAACTTTTCTTATTTTTTTAAATCATTTTTTATTTGTAATTTTTAATAGGGGAGAAAAGAAGAATGTGAAATATAAAATAAATATTTTTTGATCTACAGACTGGGTGTTATAGCTTGGCTTGAACTGACCCAGTAGGGCTCTACTCTATACTAATTTAATAAATATATTATAAAATCTCCAAAATAGCAAAATGTTTGGTTTTAACTAATACAAAAAACTATATATTGGGCATTATAGTTGGGCAATGGCTAAATATTGGTTAATTCCGTTCAATCTACAGGTGCGTGCGAGAGAAAACCCATTAACATCAAGGGGTTTTAATTTATATCAGTTTTTTTCAAATTTGAGCTGCTATTTTTTTAAAAAAAACTTCTAGGACGAAGTGATAGCTTTCGGCTAAAAACTCGGTTTAGCCGTTTTTAACTCGCTAAAAATTGACGTAAACTACTAAAAATGTAGTAATTACCCAACTATAATGGTTACGGACTTCACTATATTTAAAATTAATTATAAGGAATGGGAATTATATATTAAATCTAATTATTATACAATAAAAAACGCTTTTTTTTATTCACACTTATCAGATCTCGAAGGTACCTTGTACGATTTTTGTGGTGGCAAAAGTGATCTTGATGAAAGGAAAATAGTATTTGTCGGAGATGCTGAGACTCGTATAAAAGAAGATTACCTCAGGATACTTAGATACTTTAGATTTTATGGGAAAATATCGGATAAAGAACACAATCATGACCCTAAAATTTTAAAAATATTGGGAGAAAATAGCGAGGGACTAGCTCAGATATCTGGCGAGAGGCTTTGGGTCGAGCTCAAGAAGATTTGTGGTGGCCAATACGTTTATTCTCTGTTCAAAATCATTTTCGACCTCGGAATAGCTAGCTACGTTGGATTGCCAGCTGCTATCGATGTTGACACCCTGCAAGAATTATATCGAGTTTGCAAAGTGACCAATGGACTGAAACCTAATCCAGTTACCATCTTAGTATCTGTGCTCACTCCCCAGGACCTAAAGATTCTCAACCAAAGGCTCAAGCTTTCCAACTCCGATCTGGCCATATCTGGTTTCATAATCGACCAAAGACACAAAGATTTTAATAATTATAACCACAAAAAGAGTGGCCAAGATTCTCCTCACACTAATGGCACCTTACAGCATGCAAATAAAATATTCCAAAGTAGAGACCTGAAATACTACATTGACTTGATGGTCGACTCTAAGTCGCCGGGTAAAACAAAGGAAAAAATCATAGAATATTTGAAGTATAGTGGTGAAAAGGGTTTATTGAACGATTTCATTTCTGCCGAAATACCCCGGTTTCCGTTAACTGGCCATGATCTGATGGAAATGGGAATTCCTAAGAGCCCCAATTACGCCAATATTATGCAAGAGCTGCGAAACGCTTGGAAAGACTCTAAATATTCATTGTCCTATCAAGAACTTTTGCAAAAGCTTAAAACTTATACTAAAGCTTCTAGCTGATTAATTCCATTTCTATGTGTTTATTTGAATTTTATGCATAAAATCATTTTTATACAAATAAATAAATAATAAAATTATTGAATTTCTTTAAATCATATATTAAAAACTATTGAGCCAAATTTATCACATTTTTAATATTATTTATAAAAAAAATTTGATAATATTGCAAAAAAAAGAAAAATTATGTTAAATTTGCAGATATTAACCATGAAGTTTTGCAGCTTCTTATCTCACAAGATCTCAGATATATTCATAAATTAAAGAAAAAGAATGTTAAGAACGTCATTGGGCTCTTGTTTGTATTTAATACGGTTGGCTAATAAAAATTAATTTTATTAGATCATTATTTAAAACATGAAATCAATATTTTTAAATATGATTTATATTTATGAAATTTGATCAAAATAGTTAATATAGTAAAAGGCAAAGACTTGGATTAGTTTAAAATTTAACTTTTTTTCTCTTAAAAACAATTTAGAATACCAAATTGCCTCAGTAAGCATTACTGTTTAGATTGAATTATTTCCTAAATTTAGGGAGAAATCACTTAATGTTCTCAATTTTAAAATAAAACTTAGGCCACATTTATATGAAACGCAAAATATCGCAATGTTCCGCGTGCGACGCGTTAATTATAAAATACATCATGTTAAATTATACAGCTAAGCTATGTGCTCTCATTTAGCGATGAATTACGCATCGCTTGACTGATATCGCACTTTAATGTCGACCTTGAATAATGCACATTTATGATTATTCCTTCACAAAAAAGATTTAAAAAAATGTCTGAATAGTATCTTACATTAGGATTGTGGTATTTCACTTTTAGAAATATTTTTCTCCAAAAATTCTTAATTAAATTGGGAGGGGGGGAGCGTTGTTGTAGACAAGTATCTAAGGCAATGAAGTAACCACTACGGATATTTTATCAATTTGCTAATAATTTCATTTTTAAAATTTCGGATTAATTGTAACGTTTAACCGGTAAATTGCGATTTTGCCGAATGGTGGATACACGCTAAGCTCCATGAAAGAATAGATCATTTGCCGGTGGAATTTTCTCGTCTCATATTTTTCATAAAAAATTCCATTTTTTTCATAGTTTTGATTTAGGTTAAAGCCATACCAGAGAGTTCTAGCGCCTGAGAAATTGAGCGTTTGGTAGTCATATAAAAATAATTAAGAATATAGTAGTTATAAATTATACAGATTTTTTGGAAACTATATTTGTATTTAAACGCTCGATTATTGGCTTGCAGGCTGAGGTCCGGTCTTGCCAAATATAAAATTTACATTGTATAAAATTAGTCCGAAAAAAAATAAACAAGTAAAAAAAAATATATTATGTTACACTAAATGATTCTTTTTTTGTTTTTGCTCCTAATTACAATGAGATACAGCTGTCCTAACTTGATTACAGTTTTTCAAAATTTTATTTTTAGCTGTAATATATTGGAAGCTTTTTTTAAAAAAAATTCTTATTGCCCACATTTTAACTGAAATCTTATATGGGTTCGATCTGCCTAGACTCACTTAGACCTAACCCCATTTTTTTTAAAAAAAGGTTTGCGCTGTACCAAAATAATTTTTCAAAATACAGCCAAAATTTTAGAAATTCCAAGGCAGGCGTTAAAACGTTCAAAAACAAAATTCGCATCGATTTAAAAACTATGGCGGACTCGAAAGTGAATTTTTTTTTCTTCAAATTCAGACCTTGTAATTATACATCTGTCAGAACTAATCTTAGGCCTTTCCAGAAATTTTAGTAAAGGAGAAGAAAGTCTACAACTTTTATCGGATAGTTTTAGATCCCACCCATCTTTGAAGAATAATCGATTTGAGGTTTGCCGTGCGTTAGGTTTTGCAAATGGATTGGTTAAGAATATCATTGTTGCAAATCGGTATGCTAGTGAAGTTTGCGAATAGAGCTGTCACTTATCAATAAGTCTGGAAGGATAATTGATAGCTCAGGATTCAGCTTAATTTTTCTTAATTGCATGTTGTCGTTGAATCCCACTCCCAGGGGTCATCGGCTGGGTAAAAAATAATCATTTAATTACCTATCCTAACACATGGTCCTACTTATGAAATGTGAACCTGGAGTTTAATAAATAATCTTTGAGGATCAGAACATAATTGGAAGATCTTTCATTTAAAAGAAAATTTGAGCAATAACCCTTAAAGATTTTGCTCACACAGATCATGATCGATGTAACAAAATCTTTTGTTATTCTGAAATGTGAATTTTTTTAAAGATTTAAATCTTTAAATGAACTAAATCTTGTTTTCAGATGATAAAATCTTTAAGATTTTAATCCTTGTTGATTTGTGTATAGTAAAAATTTCTGGATTAAATCATTTGTGAAGATCATTTTTATTATTATGCGAATAAAAATATTTAAATGGGGTCTTACATCTTACAGGTGTAATTTTAATCATTATAATATTTTAAAGTTCGGTTAAATAAAATGTTATATTTCATATTGGATATGTTTAAATTTGATGAATTGTGAATATTTTATTTAAAAATATTATTTTAGAGTTTTTGACAAGGGTTCTCTTTATTTAAAAAAATATTAAAAAGAAGTGTGACTATAAAAAAGTCTTAATTGTCATAATCGTAATTTATAAACTTTTGAAGCAAGTAAAAATATATATTAAAAAGATATTAAATTAATATTTCAGTGAGTATGTACTATAGAAAGTGAAAATTATCGTCATCGTTATTTTTAAACTAGTCCGCAAAATTACATAGAAATTTTCGATAATAGCTCGCCAAAGTTTCCAATTCCTCTTTTGTCTTAGGTCCCGGCATATTTGGAATAGCTTTAATCTTATCTGCATTCGGACGTATTCCTTTGTCGTCTATATCGTATCCTAAAAACCGTAGTTTTTCTTTAAAAATAGGCTTTTTGTAAAATTTGGTGTAAGCCCATATTTTGATAACTTGTCAAATTCAATTTTTATGTTATTCAAATGAGCTTCATCGTAGTCCCCAGTAATCAGCAAATCGTCTATATAAAATATAACATCTTTCATGTCCCCGAATATATTGTCCATAGTTTATTGGAATATTGCTGGCGAAATCTTTAATCCAAACGGAAGCCTTGTAAACCTGTAATAGCCCTTGTGTGTTGATATTGTGAAAAAATCTCTAGATTCTTTGTATATAGGTACTTGAAGAAATGCGTTTTTAAAATCAATCTTTGTAAATTTCTTACCTTTTCAAATTTTTTTCGAAGATAGTGAGGAAAAACATATATTGTAAACATGTTAAATAGAGATTCCAATGAAGATGAATCACAGAAAAGTGATAACAATTATCATAATCATTAGGAATTTTTTGAAGTAAATCGATAAAACAATATATTATAATGTTATAATAAGATTTTGGTGAAAGATAAGCTTAGAAAAGTGACAATTGTCGCCATTATCTCTAAACTAATTGTTTACAAAGAAAATGTATAGGATATATTGTTACCATGTGATATTATGATATTTGAATTTGAGTATATAAAAGTGAGAAAGGGAAAAATTTTTTGAATGGTTTGAAAAGGATGTTGATTTTAAAAAGCCATATTGAAGCACTAATAATACTATTCAAGAATTAATTAAAATGCAATTTAAAGGTTAACAAAAAGCCAATACTTCGCAACTATGTCAAATTACGTTTAAAACAAGATGCCACACCGAAAATTATACAACCAAGGCGTATACCATATTCAAGAATTGATTTTATAACTAAAGAACTTCAAAAGTGGATAAACGATAAAATCATTGAACCTGTTGAAGATGTTAGATGGCCTCTCACTCCCGTCTTTAAGAGCGACTTCGGATCTGTGCTGACTTCAAAAATACTATAAACCCTGCCTTAGAAAATGTACCCAATACTGCGCATCAATGACTTGATTGCAAAATTGTCTAAAGGTAAGAAATTTACAAAGATTGAATTTAAAAACGCATTTCTTCAAATACCTATACACAAAGAATCTAGAGATTTTTTCACAATATCAACACACAAGGGCTATTACAGGTTTACAAGGCTTCCGTTTGGATTAAAGATTTCGCCAGCAATATTCCAATAAACTATGGAAAATATATTCGGGGACATGAAAGATGTTATATTTTATATAGACGATTTGCTGATTACTGGGGACGACGATGAAGCTCATTTGAATAACATAAAAATTTTATTTGACAAGTTATCAAAATATGGGCTTACACCAAATTTTACAAAAAGCCTATTTTTAAAGAAAAAACTACGGTTCTTAGGATACGATATAGACGACAAAGGAATACGTCCGAATGCAGATAAGATTAAAGCTATTTCAAATATGCCGGGACCTAAGACAAAAGAGGAATTGGCAACTTTGGCGAGCTATTATCGAAAATTTCTATGTAATTTTGCGGACAAGCTGATCCCTTATACAAAATAGTTAATAAAGACAAGTGGTTGGGATACTACACATCAAGAAAGCTTCGATGACCTAAAAAACTGATAAGTACTCCGCCTACGTTAAATTTTTATAACTCGAATCTACCAGTAGGCATTGCGACTGATGCTTCAAAGAAAGGTCTAGGCACAATCTTTTTCATATTGATAGTGATGGTAAAGAGAAACCCATTGCTTTCGCGTCAAGAGCATTAAAATCAGAGTTAAACTATACAAATATTGATAGAGAATTATCTGTTATATACGTGGTAAAAAAGTTTCAAGAATATTTAATTGGTACTAGATTTACAATAATCACAGATCACAAGCCACTCGTTTATATATTTACGAAGAGACTCAAGGACAATTCTTCCATATCAATGCGACTCCAAAAATGGAGTTTGGCTATGGGAGCTTATAACTTTGCGATAATTCATAAACGAAATGTAATACCGGATTGTCAAGATTACCACAAATGAACACAGAAGAGATGGTACAAATGATAGATGGTGAAATAATTGATGACAAATTTTGGGAGATACCTAAAATTTTAAAAGAATAGTTAAAGAAACTAGTAAGAATCATGATTAAACAAAAAAACAAAAAGTAAGGTTACGAAAAATAAAAA